CCATTGTAATTTTGAATGATCGCTAAGAACATATATATATATATATATATAGATAGATAGATAGATAGATAGATAGATAGATAGATATAGATATATATAGATATGTGTGTGTGTGTGTGTGTGTTGATAAATAAATAAATAAAGGGAGACTAGTATAGATTTATTTCAAGCTATTTAGCTCTCATCAGCTAGCCATACCCTTACTGGGATTAGAACCTGTGCTGTATTACATTTTAGGCAGATGTGTTAACCACTAAGCCACAAGATCCTTCTCCGTTATCAGCTGAGCCAGGGAGATAGGTATGTATTAAGTGTTACAACCCCTGGTATGCCCAAATATGGGAAGAAGCCCACTGCTTCCACTCTCTGTCCATCGGCTCGTCGCAATAGACCATCCAGACAGAAACCCAATATTTTTACTGTTGCCTTTGTTACATTTGTGTTGTATTTGTGCTGATATATAAATAAAGGGAGACTAGTATAGATCTATTTCAAGCTATTTAGCTCTCATCAGCTAGCTCCCATATTTGGGCATACCAGGGGTTGTAACACTTAATACATACCTATCTCCCTGGCTCAGCTGATAACGGAGAAGGACCTTGTGGCTTAGTGGTTAACACATCTGCCTAAGATGTAAATACAGCACAGGTTCTAATCCCAGTAAGGGTATGGCTAGCTGATGAGAGCTAAATAGCTTGAAATAGATCTATACTAGTCTCCCTTTGTGTGTGTGTGTGTGTGTGTGTGTGTATGTGTGTATTTAAAGTCATAACCCCTGGTATGCCCCAATTATGGGAGGAAGCTAACTGCTAAATAGCTTGAAATAGATCTATACTAGTCTCCCTTTATTTATTTATCAGCACAAATACTACACGTGTGTGTGTGTGTGTATAGATATAGATAGTGCATAAAGATATTGCATAAAGATTGAGAGATAGGATAAGATTAGCAAGAGAGAGTGCAAAAACTCCTAGGTGATTAGTTTATTAAATATCCCTGGAAAGATTTTGGAATCATTCTGACTGAAAAGATACAAAACATAAATTGATATGGTACCTTTTTGGAACGGCTGAAAGGACTGTATTGGAGATAGGTGGAACATAAAAATGAGCAAAATTTAAAGGTACACTGCAACTTTATGCTGGGCAGAGGACGTGCAAGCCAGTTTTTAATTGAATTGTATAAATGCAATAAGGTAAATAAGAGAGAACCCATGATAAAAAAATGAATTTGAATTATGGGGGGAAATGTGAATATGAAACTGAAGATTGGTTGCTGAATGTGAATTTAATTTGAATATGATATGTGAATATAAGAGGCATATGTAATGAATGCTTGATTATTGAGTGGTAATTAGATAAAGGATGTGTGATTTCTGATTGTTTAATATATTTACAGATAAATGGATAAGGAATATTGGTGGTAAAATTAGAGTAGTTTGGGTTGGGGACATGAATTTGCATGCATGTTTGTGCATTGTATCTTAATTCATATAATGGAATATGAGATATGCATCTCAAAATTAAAGCATTTAGTTTTAACAGAAACTTGAAAGTTTGCATTGTTCATGTATGAAAAAAAATTGAGTGAGTAGACAAATATTTTCGGAAAAACATGAAAAAAATCTGTATGAAAGAATATTCTTCTGCCTAGCATATGATCTGGAAATTTTGAGTTTGACTTGCCAGGATAAACAAAGTTAATGTAGTGTGTATGGATTACTTTAAAAAGGGCCTAGTAAATGTGAGACAAAGTGGATGGTGTTGGTATACCAGTAAATCAAATTCAGTTGTGTTCCCATGTTTTTTATCTGTTATACCTTCAGTTTTTTCAGCTTGCTGTTTCTTCTTTTTTGCAGTTTGCAATACTTTTGGTTACCCTGGAAGGAAATAATGAATATATACATGTGTTCTTCTAATATTGATTTATGCTGTTTAAAATTCAGATAGGTGGAAATGTGCCATAAATCCCAGATAGTCACTTGGAGACAAGTGTCAGAGGACTGAGATGAGTTGTTCAGCCCCTGAACTCAGGATTCTCAAACAAAGAGGCATTAGAGTGTCTTCCCTTGAAAACTAGATTCTGACATACAAGGGCGCAATTTATGAAGGATGAAGATGCCATAAGGATTCCCAGGCAGAAAGCTTGTAAATTGAGTGTTCATCTACAGATAAATTATCCATGGGAACGTTGCTTCCAAATGGGAGTACCTTTAGTCTTGAAAAACGTGTTAATTTTTCAGAGCCATAATGGCTTATAATTGAGCCATGAAGAAAACCTGCACATAGGAATATGTAAGTGCTCAGTTTGTACTGTTTTGTCATTGGAACAAGTACATGTAGTCATTTTGACTTGCATCTTAAAAGACACCACACACACACGCCTAGATTTCTGTTGCTTTGATCTCTGGGTTGTTGGTATACTGAGCATGAATTTCAGTTTGATATCACTGCGTAAGCATCTCATGGTAGCCTTTTGTTTGCCAGTGAAGGAAGGTTTTGAAAGCTTCAATTATTTCCTCATGTTCTTTGATGTTGCCTGGGGGTTCTGTTGATTGAGGCTTTGATGCCCTTGAGCACTACATTGTGATCCAAGGGACCAATAATCAGTAGTTCAGGATTTAGTCAGATTTTCTCCCCTTATTCATGTATCGGCATAAGAGGAAAAGTGGAGTGATTCATGAGGAGGCAGGAAAATAAAAGAAGACAAGAAATTAAAAGAACATACAGAATTATGTCTCCTTCACATTTAAGGACTATTTAAAAAAATATTCCTAGTAATAGCAGCAAAAGCTACCCGTAGACATCCATAGTAAGATTAATTATTTGTTGTAGTTGGGTTTGGCGTAGCTAAAAATTTGGAACCGAAACTGTTGCAGACTCCTGCAATAGTTATGCTGACTCAAATCTTCCTATTCTTGTGACATTGAAGGCAAAATTGCTTCTAGTCATGAATCCGAAGGAAATGTCAGTAGACTGTAATAGCACAAGATATAGAGGATGAAAATTCTTTAGGTAAAATCTCCGTAGAGTATTCCCTCTCAAATCATAATAATTATGTTATAATAACATTAGCATAGACTGTTGGGAAAATGGGAATGGGGTAAATAGTCCTGGAAACTAGTTAGAACAGGAAAGTAATTTGGCTAGCTAGCTATTACATTGAAAAAAATGGGTTTGGGTTCTTCCAGGGTTGGAGAAGAGATCTGTCAATTGATGTCAGTAGAAAAATTAAACAATTTCATAGATGGTATATGAAATGTTGTGTCAGACCTCTACGTGTAATATAGTATCTCTCTAAAGTCCCTTATCATCTATAACATTTTTTTCATAAAGCAGCTTCCGTCAATTTTCTCCAAATCTATACAATTCATCATCCAGCATTTTGAATTTGTTCTGAAAATCCTCTGTGGACAGATTGTTCAGGAAACCCAGGAGATTTCAGCGGAACGGAGAAGTAGTGAATTCCCTATTAGGTGTAACTTTTTATGTAACTGCAAAATCAAATGGTTTGAAACTATAGTTGCAATGTTCCAATGTGATTTCATATATATCAGGGTTAAACATTTCATGCTCTATAAAGCAGTATATTTAAGTTACACATTTTGTTGCAAAATATTTTCAATAATTACACAGTTTATGTAAATAAAAAACAAATAAAAAATAATTATGTACACTTTTATTGTGTAAGCTGTATAAACTAGGAAACAGCAGAGCTTTTTAAAAATCTGTGGAAAAGAACATACAATTTTGGCTGTTAAAACTCATTTAAAAAAATTAATTTAAATTTAGAAAAAATACAAAACGTAGACAAAACTGCCACAGTTCTTAAACTAAAGAAAAATAGCAATCAGAAAACATAAAGATGTAAAAACAAAACAAACCAAGGGAAAACAAAATCATCAAATATTGAATTAATCAATAATTACTGGTTTATTAATAAAAAACATATAGCATTAAGGTATAGTAAAATACAATACTCTATTGTAAAATATGATAAAATTAAGCTTTATTGTTATTTATTTATTATTTATTTAATTTATTGGCTAGCCATCTTACCATAGGGTAGCTAATCCTGGCCGGCTCACAGTTATAAAAATGTATCTGTAGATATGCAATTAAAACATAAATAATTAAAATCAAACGTTAAAACCTAAGGACACATGGAGAATCTGGGGTAGAGTTGGGGGGAGGTGGAATCTGATGTTAATCAACCACCTCCACTGTTCTGACAGTGCCAATTGGCAGAGCCAGGTCTTTAGACCCTTGTGAAAGGATAGAATGGGTGTTGGCAACCCGATGCTCCAGAGATGCATGTGGCTCTTTCACCCCTCTGCTGTGGCTCCCTGTGGCCCTGTCGCAGCAGAGGGATGAAAGAGCTGTTGCCCTTTTGTGATGTAACAGTCTGATAATCACTTCTTTTGCAATTCAAAGTTTATTTTTGTATCTTTCCAGATACAGAACGTGGCCGAATTTCCTTACAGTTATTACCTGGGTGTGTGGGTTGGGAAGTGGAGGTGGGAGGGGGAGGGAGGGGGAGAAAGAAAGAAAGAAAGAAAGAAAGAAAGAAAGAAAGAAAGAAAGAAAGAAAGAAAGAAAGAAAGAAAGAAAGATGAGAGAGAGAAAGAGAGAGATGAAGAGAGAAAGAGATGAGGGAGGGAGAGGGAGATAGAGAAAGAGATGGGAGATAGAGATGAGAGAGGGAGGGGGAGAAAGAGGAGGGAGATAGAAAGAGATGAGAGAGGCAGAAAGGGGAGAGAGAGAGATGAGAGAGAGAAAGAGAGGAACGGAGGGAGTGGGAGAAAGAGAGATGGGAATGAGGGAGGGGGAGAAAGGGAGGTGAGAGAGAGGGATACCCGTTTCCTATAGGAAAAAAAAACACCAGGATCCCAAAAACCTGGGTACGCGTTGCTGGGGGCGGCATGTGTCTGGGTGGGAATGAGTGATATCGAGTTTGCCACGCCCACCCAGGTTTTGTGGCTCCCGGTGTTTTGTTTTCTGTGGGAAACGGGTCCAAACAGCTCTTTGAGTGTTTAAGACTGCAGACCCCTGGGATAGAAGGATAGTTTTATAGGTAGTTTTCAATTTACAACCATTTTTTTAAACAACCGTTCACAGTCCCAATGGCAATGAAAAAGGGACTTAGAACCAGTCTTTGCACTTTAAGCCATCACACTGTCCCTTTGGTCATATGATCAAAATTTGTGCTCTTGGCAATTGGCATACAGTATATTTACAATGGTTGCAGTGTCCTTGGGTTGCATGATCATTATTTGTGATATTCCCATCCAGATTCTGATATCCACAGTCAAAAGGGGGAAGCCAGATTTGCTTAACTGTCCTACGAAAAAGGTTGTAAAATTGGCATGACTCATTTAATGCCACATTGTTGAGCGATGGAAGTTCCGATTGTGATAGTAAGTTGAGGTCTCCTGTGTATTGTGAACAAAGTTAATGTAGAATATTTTGAAAAAGAGAAGAAGATTCTCCATTTGCTGCACTCAAATGGCTTTATTTTTGACTAGTTAGGTAGATTCAGAAAGGAAAAGTAACTACATTATACTTCAGTTTAAAAATGGATTTATAAGAGTATTGAAGACCTTTCTATAAAACCGCATGCATAGGTAATAGGGATATTCCATTTTATTTTATTTATGGTATTGTTTTATATAGATGTTTGCCTCATAGAATCAGTTTAAAACATTTAGAATGGACAAGGATGGAAGTAAATGCCTAAAATAATACTGAAAGGCAGCAAAACAGGTTTTAAACTGATTCTATGAGGCAAACATCCAGTTCAAAATCACTCTGAACGTTTGAAGTAGGATAGTTTAATCAAAATATACTTCTGAAGAGTAAATTAGCAGTCAAAGAGGCCATAGGGATGATAACATAACGAGAGATATTTGGAGTGGGACAATATAACTAAATAGAAATAAAATGGGACAAACAGAGGTCCTGATATTAGAGAAGAACTTAAATGAGTATAACAAACTTAGAGGAGTGGAACAAATGCTATGCAATGACCGTAACTTCCTTCAGTTATATTAATCTTCGACCTTTGGTTCAGTATTTGCAAATAAAGTTGTTTATTCTACATTGCTTCAATACCCAGAACATCTCCTTGTCCTGATGAGAAACTTATATCAAAAAACTACAGTACTATCAGAGCATAACAAAACAGACTGGCTCCAGGTTAGGAAATGGATGAGAGATGGCGGTGCTCTATACATGTGAATGACAAAAGTAAGTGAACCTGTAGCATGATTAATTCCTTTAAAGGGGAAATTAGAAACAGCATGAACGTAAGGTGTTAAATATGGGAATCCTGCCTTATTTAAAAAACAGAGTTATGATATTCACTTTCCAAGGCTGAATTTCACAATACTGTTGTTATGTAGAAGTATGGTCCAAAGTATGTGTGTGTGTGTCTGTCTGTTGTCTATCGATTTATCTTAAACTTTTAAAAAAGAAGGAAAAACTAATAGAAATTAATATAAAGTAAGAAAGAAAAAGAAAATGGGAAAAAATACAAAGCCAAAAGCGCCAAAAAAAGAAAATAGAAAAGAAAGATTAAAAAAAATAATATGTGCCCCCTTGATTTAATTTTAAATTCCCCTTGATGGTTTTCTAATAATTCATTTGTTTTTTTTTCCTGATGCTTCTCTTCTTTGCCATGCTTTTTGAGCTGAGATCTGCAAAGGAGTTTTCAGGACAACCTGGGTTTATATCTATTCCATATTCTAAATATGGAATGTCTAATAAAATGTCTTCTAAAATACACATTAATTTTTACTTTTTATTGTACCGTAACTATCCATGTCATCCAAACTTCAGTTTATGACTTTTTAATTCTAAGTCTCGTTTCTCAGCAGCATCCATTATTTTATCCAGAACAAACAACAAGCTGCGAAATACAACTTCAAATCTTCTAAACCCACTTCTCTTTTTTCCTTTGCATTATCTAGCACTTTATATTTAATTAGTATTTTTTTCTTTGCCATATATATAAAAAGATTATTGTCTGAAACAAAAATATTCTCAGCAAAAGACTTCATTTTCATCACAGTGAAAATTTTAATTTCTCCATCTTAATGTCATTTGGAATACCTTTCCATTTATTTTTAATTTGTTTAATCTTTTTTAAATTTATTTTATTTTATTATTTTTTCCTGATTTTATTACTTTTATTAAGTAACTTAAGGCAATGAACATACACAATGCTCCTTCCTTCTCCTCTTTTCCCCACAATTACCTTGTGAAGTGAGTTGGTCTAAGAGACTGGATCAAAGTCAATCTTCCAGTTTCTATTTTGAAATAACTTACAATTCATATTTGTCAGTAATACCCAATATTTTACTTTATTCTCAATCTTAGGTTTTCTTAGTTTTACTTGTTTTTAATTTCATATTTTCATTGACAACTTTGTCTTCTGATTATTGATCTTAAAATATGCTGATATACAAAAGTTAATTTTCCCATTGTTTCTACTCCATCTAATGGAATTTCCATATCAACTGCAAATGCCCTTAACTTATACTTATAACCTTTCTTAACCTTATCTTCTATAATTGTCTCATATTTTCGTATGTCGCTATTCAGTACTTCAGGAACTAAAATAACAATAGTGGTGACAGAAAACAGTCTTGTCATTTTTTGTGTATTACAAGTTTTTGTTAGTTCTCTTATTAACAATTATTTGTGCTTTTTTGTAAAATATAAATTGATCTTATTCATTTAATAATATTATATCCAAGGTTTATATGTTCCAGAATGTTAAACAAGAAAATCCAATTCAAAGGATCAAACACCACCTCTAAATTTAAGAATATGAATGCAGCTTGTTTTTGTTCTTTTTTCCCCTCTAAAGTACTCCAAAATAGCCAAAACATTTCTAATATTATTTCACCATTTCTCAGCTTTTTGATTAAGATCAAGTGAATTGAATATTATCCTGTAATTGTCTTTTAGATAACTTGCATTCATCTTTTTGAATACAGTCCTATAAAATTATCTTTAAACTTTCAGCCAAAATCACAATAAACAATTTATAGCCATTATTCAATAAAGATATTGAGTGATAATTTCTTGTTAAAGGCTAAAATCTTGTGCCTATTTAGATATTAATACTATTTAAGCTTCTTTTTGCTAGCTATCAAGATTCTTTCCATTCTGTAGAATAATGTTCATTGTTTGTTGTAAAGATTGTAAAGACACATCCTCAAAATATTTGTAGTAAGAAGCTGGCCGCCCTTCTGAACTAGGTCACTTTCTTCTTTTAGTCTGTTCAATAGCTTTATTTGCTGTTATAGATCCATTCAAAATTTCTCAATTGGCCAACCATTTGTTTGAAAGTATAGATTTTCATGCTTGACAGAGGGGATTAGAAGACCTACAAGTTCCCTTCCAACTCTGTTATTCAATTCTCAGTAATCTTTGGTAAATTCTGATTATAGCAATATTACTTTTTTGAGGAAATTTCTTGATCTTTTCATAAAGTAGTATACTGATAAAACCTTTCTTTTTGAATGTTTACATTATCTGTTATTACAATATTTCCTTCTTGTAACATTGCCACTCTTCTTGCAGCTTTTATGCTAACAATTTCTCTGGTTTATTTGCAAATTCCATTTTGTTTTGTTTTATATGGTTGACATTTATTTCCATCTCACATTGTTAACATAGATAATTGTCTCTGTAAAAGCTTAATTTGATATTAGTGGTCATCCTTAGAGCTTTTTAGATTCTTTTTTTAATCTCATCCAAAATCATTTGTATTTTCTCTTGCCTTTTCTTTTTAAGTTCACTATTATTGTTGTATAAAATATTTTCTCATTTTATTTGCGTACTAAACAATTTTTACCTGTTTGTTTCTCAAAAAATTCCTTTAAACTCTATTGATAGTCCTCTACCAGTTCCTTTTGTAACAACAAATCTAATTCAATCTCCACTTAAAAGGTCAATTTTACTTTTTAAAAGTTAAAGTCACTCGATTATTGTGTTAAAAAGTATGTGGTAATATCTTGACTTCATAAAAATTAATAGCCAAAGTCTTAGAAATTCAAATCATACCTATTTTTGAAGACATTTATGTCTTGCAGAAAAATATTCTTTGGAGTCATCATTTTTATACCTTCATGCATCAACAAGTTCCAAATTATTTGTTCAACAACAACAAAAAATCTTTGGTAGTTTACCTCGTGTATTTTAAATATTTTTCACAGAAACACTATCTCTTTGTGGGAAAGCCATTTCATTCCAATCTCTCAGGACACACTAATTTTCATAACAAAAATCTAATAATTTGTCCATAACTTGAGTTCGAAATAGGCTATTTTCACATCTCTGAATATCTCCCTGAATTTTTAAGAACTTTTCCAAGGAAGGCAGCATATTAGGAGTTCTGCCATGAAGGCATTGAGAAATCAAGTTAGGAAATATTTCTGAAATGATGACCCAAAGGATCACAGGTTGTCTAGTTATATATTTAATCTTTCACACCATATATCAAAGCAATTAAGTATTTATGTTCCTTCTTTACAGTAATACCTGTTTGAACATGTTTACTAAATCGTCTTTTGTAACTGTTCCAAAAGTTCAAAGATCATTGGGAAAGAGAATCAATCCAATATTGTTACTGAGTTCAAAGGTCTGAATTCATGAACCACTCTCATCTTTCTACATGACAAGAAAAGTTTCCCTTGAGGCTGGAGATGTAGTGTGTCCAATAAACCTCTTGTGAAATTGTTATCAGTAAGTACCTTTGAAGAAGCCAACTTGTGCAGATGTAGAGTCCTGGGCTTCTGGAACCATGTTTATAGTATACAAGCATAGGAACTTACGTTTTTTCATGAGTGGCTTCTAGTTGCATAATTGGGTCTATTGTCTTGAGTTGGCAAGACATGTTTACAAACAATGGCCAGATGCAATGGGCTATAATAATTCTGAGATGCTTTCTCTACTCCCATTCCTCCTTTGGACTCATATTTTTCTGTATAATTTCTCCCAGGAGACCATTGCCTAGGCTGTGGCTTTTCCACATGTCTCCCAAAGTTATTCTCAACTCCCAGTACAACATTAATAGTTTGTGAATCCAGAATTCATTAGGGCAGGAGAATGTTTATCTGAAGTAAATCAAATAGGATGAATAGCCAGTGCTTTGAATTCTATATCAGGAGTCTTCTTATTTGTTGGATAACCCAAATTCTGAACTTCTCAAGTGGGATCCTGAGATTCCTGGGAAGGCAGGCTTGGGACAATCAAGGTACTTGCTTGCAAAATGGCGCTTAGTTCCACAAACATTAAAGGATTTTTTTTCAGGGTAGATAAATGCAAAGAAATACTACAATATAAATAGAGACTAAGCATGTGCCCTCAATCTAATGTATCAAGTATTTCTTGTTGAACCAGCTCATCCTACAGTTCATTAAATAGGTTTCTTTCAGTTGGTCAATTAAAATCACCCTTCTCCAGTGCACATTTCTAGAATAATGTTAAAAGTTGGCTCTGTGCTCACCTTGGCACAATTTACAAATTTGAGCTGTTTGATTATTACGGACTTCAGAGGAAGATACCAGTTTAAGCATAAAATTAGTGTAATTGATATGAATTCATAAATAATAGGTGCATAAATTTTTGAAAGGAAAGTATAAAGATATCTGTTGAATCACAGCTTATGCATCATATAGAGCAAGATTAAAAATGAAAAAAAAATTGAAATATGAATTGCAATATCTATGAGCAAGTATTACAAATACAGAAGAACAAATTTGAATAAAATACTGTCTATAACAGACAGAATTGATGCTCACATATTTATAATAGGGAGACTCATTAAGATACAGCAACATTTTGGCTAATTGCTTAAAGTAAAAGAAATTTACGGCAGTGATTCCAACTATTAGAGGTGAAAGAGGTAAAATATATAAAACTTCAATAGGTATAAATTGTATTTTAAAAAGTTTCAGAGTTATATAGCAAACTAGAGAACGTATAGAATGAAAATATAGAGGCTTTTAAAAAATAGAATTAACCTATCATATTTAGATGTTACAGAAAAACAATTTTTATTTGCTCTACTGAGTGAGAGATTTAAAAAGTGATTTTATAATGACGTGAAATACCAAGATTGGATGGATTCCCTATTAGGTGGTATAAAATGTTTATAAAACTTCTGGTGCCAAAACTTTTTCAATTGTATGATGAGATATTTGATAAGGGAGTTTCATCAGCAGCATTTAAATAGC